GGGGGGGGGGGGGGACAATGTAAGGCCTTGAAATAATTCTAGATATCAGTATTTAAGTCTGCCTGAATACAATACAGAGACCTTGCTTTTAGAAAATACAATACATTAGTAAATATATAACCTTTTATCCTTCAATAAACAACTGGAAACTGTATATACTCATATTATACAGATACATTACAGATTTAAAATAATTATATTTCAACATTATGTTTTCTGTCTTATTTTTCTTCCAAAAAAACCACAATAATAAATATTAGGAAAAAATGATAACGTAAAAATTTTAATAATACAAATAATAACAAAAACATTGATTATGATAATAATAATGATAATCATAATAATAATAATAGTGATAATAATAATAAATTAATAACAATAAAATAATAAGAAGAATAGAAATGATAAAAATTAATCTTGAAATACCGCTGTTTCTTACTTTTATCTTCCTTCTTTCTTCTGCGTTTAGTGAATTCGTTTTAATGCTGTTAAGCTTAAAAGCTTAACGATGAGCTAGAAACAATTGGTAAAATTATGTGTAAAAATTAGTTCTATTTAATATTTTTCTTTCGGGTTCTTTTNTTTGGGTTGGTCCAAGGTATGTATACTAAAGGTATAGGGGGTAGGTTTGGGTTGGTCCAAGGTATGTATACTAAAGGTATAGGGGGTAGGTTTGGGTTGGCCCAGGGAATTTATGATAAAGGAATAGGGGTATATTTGGGTTGGTTCAAGGCATTTATACTAGTGGTAGGGAATAGGTTTGGGTTGGTCCTCGTACTCGGACTTGGCCTATATTTTAGGATATGCAGGTTGTACCAAATTGCATTCCATTTGTTATGTTTTAGTCCATAAATATAAATGGAAGAGGTCTACCCTAAGATTGTATATAGTTCAGTTTAGACATATTCTTATTGTTTTACAAAATGATATCCAAAGATTGTATATAGTTCATCTTTAAACATATTCATATTTATTCTACAAATAAAGGAGTTTTTTCTTTGTAGATTGAATCATTGAAACTGACTGCTTGGCTTTACTTAGAGAGAATGGATAGATTGAAAATTAGTTAGGGTTGTAGTGTGCTCAGCAGAATCCAAACAAGGTAGAGATACAGATAGATCCTTTGAAAAGTAGGTCCATTTGATCATGTTACAGGATCTAAATTGGCTTTGGATTGGATGGTTTGTGTTTGTAGTTTAATTTCCTAAGCTAGGTGTTTGCTAGGTTGGGTTTATTTTAGTTTGGGCTTAGTTTAGTTTGGTTTGGGTGATTGGTTTTGTTTTCTTTTGAGTGATTGGTTTTGTTTGGGTTCGCATGATTGGTTTTGTTTGGTTTTGGGTGATTGGTTTTGCTTGGATTATTGGTTTTGTTTGGGTGTGAGTAATTGGTTTAAGTGATTGTTTTGAGTGATTGGTTTGGTTTCAGTTGGAATTATTGGTTCTGTTTGGGTTTTAGTGATTGGTTTGGTTTGGTTTTGGGTGATTGGTTTGGTTTGGGTTTAAGTTAGTGGTTTGGTTAGGGTTTAATAGATTGGTTTGATTTGGGTTTGGAAGATTGGTTTGGTTTGGATTTTGGTGATTGGGTTGGTTTGGGTTTGGGTGTTTGGTTTAGTTTAGTTTGGGTTTGAGTTATTGGTTCTGTTTGGATTTGGATGATTGGTTAGGTTTAAATTTGAGTTTTTGGTTATGTTCGGGTTTTGGTGGTTGGTTTGGTTTGGATTTGGGCGATTGCATGGTTTGGTTTGGATATGAGTTTGGGTTATGATAATTGGTTTGGTTTGGTTTTGGGAAAATGGTTTGGTTTGGTTTTGGGTGATTTGTTTGGTTTGGGTTTAGGTGATTGGTTTGGTTTGGAATTGAGTGATTGGTTTGAGTTTTTGGTTTGGGTTTTGGTGATTGGTTTGGTTTGGGTTTAGGTATTATAGTTTAGTATGGTTTCGGGTGATTGGTTTGGTTTGGGTNGTAGTATAACCTCTATTGTACTATTTCTATTCAGGGTTTCCAGGCATATGATTGGTTGGCCTGGAATTCCTAGTCTCCTATTGGTTGAAATATTGCTTTGTGCTTCTAAGTAATCTTGAGGATAAGAACTAGAAGAACACAATAGGTTTAAAATCCTTCAAAGATCAAACATTAACTGCCAGGCCAGCCATAGACTTTATTTAGTTCACATTTATAGTGGGTCACATAAACTTTATTTAGTTCACATTTACAGTGGGCCACATAGACTTTATTTAGTTCACATTTACAGTAGGTAACATAAAACTGTGAACATGAAGCTGATTTCTCAATACTTTGGAAAAAATCCTGCTAAATAAAAATATTAAATATCTACACATAATATTTGATAATGATAATGATTATACCTACAAACTTGTCCCCTAAGTAGAAATATACTTTAATCAATTATTTCAGAACATAAAGAAAGAAAACGAATAGGTAAAGCTTACCACTCTATTAATTAATTAATAGGTTGGTCGGTTGTGTCATCACGATATGTTACGACTTAATGCATAAACAGTATTTGTTGTACCGGCACTAACTCTAACAGAAGTTCCGGCAACATACAGCATTAAGCATGGAAAAGTTTAACCCAAGTGACTGCACAAATTTTGTTTCTTTATTGAATTTAAGCATTTTTTTTAGATTTAAAAGGTGATCCTTATATTTTATGATCTTAACTAGTATGCATTCGCATTGTTTGTTTTGAAGTTTTGCACAATATGTATGAATTGACTCGAGTTTATACACTTTGTACATTAAGGTGTCCAAAGATAACTGATCGTGAGAACTATAATCTAAATTTTTAGCTCAATATCTTTTAAACCGCTGCTAGAGTTCGAAAAATTCCCCAAAAAGATCTTTAATTTATCTTCTCTTTATCATTTTCTTCGTAATTGTTCAAAAAGATCAAATCCGTAGAAATTTTTGAATAATTTCAAAAATTGACTGAGTTAAGTTACATAAACCTCAGAAAATGTGCTTTTTTCAAAGGACCTGCGTTCCCTGATTGAAAAGAAATTAATTAACATGATATAATTAAATCTTATTTCATTTTATAACTTTCTATCATAGTATTTCGTGTACGTAAAGTAACACAGTATGTAGTGCAATGCAAAAAGTTACCGCGCTCATTGCGCGTGCCATTTCTTAAAAAGAATTCATTTGTTGACACTTTATTGTACAATGTAAGCACGTAATACGTGAACGTAAAGTAACTTTATATCAGACATAAGAAAGTTAAGAAGGAAGATAAGAAAAGAGGGGGATGGGGGGGGGTGGAACTATCGAAGCATATAGTACACTTGCATTATGTTCTATATATTGTTCTATTGACAGTATTCTACTAGACTGAACATGAATGAATATTAAGAATAAAATCAAGTATAAAGTTTCCTCTAGAACACAGGATACACAATTATACGATAACAATGGTCGCAGCTCAAACATTACTACTTTGCCAAGCTCAAATTTCAACAGATTTTAAACAAAATTAGATATTAGACCCCCCCCCCCCTCCTCAAGGCAATGGCATTTTTGAACAAATTTATTTGAATTTTCAGAGTACATAGGAAAATATATTTTTTTAAATGTGAACATTTGACTAACTGTGTTTAAAAAACACTTAAATGAAATTTTCCGAAGAAAAATATTTAGAAAACATAAAATAATATTATTTCAAAGTTTAGATCCCATT